TATATATATATATATATATATATATATATATATATATATATATATATATATATATATATATATATATATGTTGTGTGCGCCCGCACGCACAAGTGTGTTTACATATATGTCCGTATGGTTGGTGACTGGGGTTGGATGCATGAGCATGCACTAGTATTTGAAGCCAAAACTTAGCATCTCTGAAGTCATCTAACTAAGAACAGATACAAATTTTCTATACCACTATGGGGTTTGACCCATGAGCACATGGTTGTATACTGGTATTTGAATCCATAACTCAGAATCTCTGAAGCAGTCATCCAATACGAAACAAAAACAAATACTGTGAGGAGCCCATACATAATAAACTCTAGAACCCAATGCAATAAACCTATGTACAACATCTCCAAATGGCTAAAAAGAATTTGAAGTACATGCAACAATTCTTATCTACAGGAGCTACAAGGTCTATAGCTGCTTCCTTTGAGATAATTCTACTCATTCATGATATAAGGCACTACAGACAATGATAACTAATATCTCACTCATTACCAAGCTTACTATAGGTGTCCAAACTCTGGATGAGGAACAATTCTGAACCAATTCATGTTTATGCTTCTTGTCATACTAAAGACTATATTATGGACTGATTATTAAGTCAAGTATTTAACAATATATTTGTTGGTTGCCCCAAACAAGTTAAATCTGTAGTCACTTTCACAGAAAGGACACCTCAAATAGAAAACCATTAGGAGAAAAATCAACATCATTAACTAAAGCAGAGGGACAGCATTACACCTCCAAAGAATTCAAACCCTTGGCCATGTATGATAATATTGCTATAGAGCACAGGGCTGGTATATTTTGCTAGATTTATGACATAAAACAAAAAAAGCTCCTCACAAGGACTAATCCCAACTTCTGTACTACAAAGTACAAACCACAGTCAGAAGAAAAAAGAAGATAAAACTTTTACATCAATAATTTCTACAAGACCTAGCACATCAATTTATGCATAATGAAGGTTTCCTGTTTTTTAGGGGACCACCAACACCATGATAAAATTCACAATTTTAGAACTTTACCGCTGTAATACCCATGGTTGTTAGCTAAAAATAATGCAATGATCTCATTGTTCGGAAACTTCGGCTCAGCAGAAATGATCTTGCACATCTTGATTTGCCAATTTTCACGTCTTTGATGCTCCTTGAACTTGCGCTCCTGCCATTACAAACCAAAATCACAAATTTACTCAAAAGGAGGTACAAGAGAAAACAAGTAGACAAAAAAGAAAAAAGGATGACAGACTCTAGATTAATTAAGATGCTCTTGAGAGACAAGTCAATGTTAAACTGCTTAAAGACAAAAAAGAAAAAGGATGACAGACTCTAGATTAATGAGGCAATCAGAAATAAAACGTACCTCAGCACAGCTGGAGCATGTGCATTTGAAACCAGAAGACTTTTTCATGCAGTTCCGAGAACCATTAGTAACACAGTACTCACAAACAATTTTGAGGTGAGCACTTTTGCTGCCTGGATGACCACAGTTTGAGCAGTGTGGGGATCTTACATTTCCAGAACCCACACTTGACCTGGGTGACTTCGTAATTCCATTTACTAGGTCTATGTCCCCCTTGCCTATCTCCAATAACCTGTAAATCATGCCAAAATTGTCAAAAGAAAACATTTGCCTAATTGCTCATAACATCTAAACAAGTAAAAACAAGGCCAAAGATCAATCTGGCAGTTACCTATTCAAAATCTCATCCTCATTAAATAACCGGACGAAGCGAACAGCAGTATCAACCCCAAAACCAGGGACCCCATGTAAATTATGATCGCTGCCAACCAAAAGAGCAATGGCTATCAGCTGTTTTCTTCCCAAACCCAGGCCTGCTTCAATATCTGATACATTGTAGCATTCAAATGGTTCCTGATAAAGTGTGACGCTTATGCATGTTAGGGTGGAAAATCAAATATGCATGATGACAACAAAAGCAGATAAATATGAGAATGTACTTCAGTAAATCAAATATGACTGGGCATAAAAGACATATTCCTTACTTTAGAGTTAGATCTTAGTCTCTTTATGACGCATGTGGCTCCAAAAAGAAAGGCATCGCTGTCGGCAGTGATACAAGCATCCACATGACCTTCACTATTTAGTTGTGCACAGAGACCTTCAGCTTCTGAACGAGCTTCTAAAACAGGCATTCCTAGAAGTCTGAGGAGCTCCTATTATTGAAAAGGATTGCGCATATATGACTACTCCAGTTATTTTAGAAAAACTGCATCCTTAAAGAAGTTAAGATACAAATATAAAATCAATAAATTATCAAAACACGGAGTGTACAAACTCCTACCAGGAAAACGAAATTCCAAAGACTATCCAACATCTACAACACAGTTAACACAGAAAAGTATCAAGAAAACATAGGATACCCAATTTTACCTAGTCAAGAAATGTTGTAGGAATTCAGTTGGCAAAACAACCTTTATTCTAAAAACCAAGGATGTAAAAAATGGATGAGTCGATGCATAATATTCCAACATATCTAGTGTTATGACTTGTAAAACATTAAAGTGCACAAAATATAAAGCATGTCTTATCATTCATAGCAATCAACGGATACTTTCAAGTCATATTAGTGTGTCATCCTTGCATCTTGCCTAAATGGTGTCCAACAGATGTAAGCACATACCATGGGGGAGAATAACATGCCAAAGCCAAACCATTAATGCATGGGTGATAATGGCAGTATCATCCAAAAGAGCCTTCCAGCATGCTCACATCTGTCGGCATATTTATGAAATGACAGGCAATTTATTTTAATGTGCAATCACATTGGTCAAACGAAAACCAATGTGTGAGGAAATTCTTTTTATTTTGGGCAAGAATACGCCAATTTTGATGAATTATATCTTCTGATTTATGATAAACGAAGAGGAACTTTGGATAGTATGATCTTAACATCAGAAGAATCATAAATTATGAAATGACAAATGAAAAAATTGTGCAAATGATGAACATGACTTTGTGTAATGCACATTTGATTGGCTTGTTCATCCATGGTCCAAGTGCAGGCGACCACGAAGCACCATGCACGCAATTACTCTAGCAGTAAGAATAATAGTCGGTGTGGGTAGTGTACAAGTGTAAATCAATATTAACTAGAAAAGTATTCCATTAATTCATCGTCTCTCTTTCTGTAGGTTTCTATTTTTTCTCTGGGGTTTTGCCTACCTCTGAAGTAAATCTTGAAAACAAGCAATTAATAAGCAACCATCAAGAGGAGGCCATGACAAGTGCATTGTGAATACAGAAAATGCAATCATTTTCAGCTCACCATGCACTCCCGCACACATCTGGTGAAGGCCTGATTCCGCTGCTTCACTGGACTTGCCTCCCCCTCCTCGTCCTCCACGGGCTTCGGCAGCGCCGTGGGGTCCAACCCCGACATCCGAAAGAAGCGCTCGATCCTCGCCTGCGCCTTCAACGGCGACGGCGTTCCGTCCACCACGAACACCGGATACGCCCCCATCTAACCAAATATTCCACGGATCATAAACCCTAATCGGCCATCTTCCCTTGAGGAAAGGAGGGGGGGTGGGGGAAGCCGGATCGAGAAACCGAACCTTGGAGAAGAGGGCGACGGTGCGGAAGAAGGTGGTGCGGAGGTGAGGGTTCCGAGCGCGGGGGCTCCTGCTTCGGATGGCGGCCTCGTGCTGGACGAGCCAGAAGGAGAGGTCGACGGCGACGCGCTTGTCCCGGAGGAAGTCGACCCCTTCGTTGTGAGCGTAGGGCTTCAACAGGTCCCAGAAGTTACCGCCGACGCCCATCTCGGGCGAGGAGACGGCGGCGAACGAAGAGGACGAGGAGGAGAACGGTTTAAACCCGGTTGACGATTGCGCCGGTTCACCCCGGTACGATGGCGACTTGATCGGATATAGCGGGGAAGCCTTTGAGATTCGTGAATGGCTCGATGGCACTTGCTGCACAGGATCTGACCATCAAATAGAAATCGAAATGAGGATTCGCATTTATGATATTTGATTAGGAAAAATATAATATAATTCCCATCTTAAGATACAATTAAAATTTAATTTAATATCAAAGTTTAAGTTAATAATAATAATATGAATGTTCATCAAGATCTTATATATCAATTTAATCATTATTTAACTTCTTATAATTCAATCATTATTCAACTTTCGACGGAAACTAATCGAAAAATACTTGAGTCTATGTAAATTATAATATATCTATCAAGCTCTTATAAATTAATTTAATTATTTTTTAACATTCAATATGATATTATTTGTTAGAATATTTTCGACCCGTAGTTAAGGATGAATATAATATATAGTGATGGCTTTACATCATGATGTTTATCTAATCTCATCTCATTTACAACTTGCCTATGTCCTTGATTTTAATATTATTTACCATGATTCAATTTGATAAAATAATAAATCTATTAATCTTAATGCTAAACTAAAATATTTTTAAGTTTAAATTAATTTTAATATGGTCATAAAATTCCCATGAACCAATTCAATTCATTACTCTTTTACACCAACATGTATTTCACAAAAAGAATTGATGATGACACCAAGGCCCAAAAAAACTCTAAAAAAAAGCAAAAGTCAACCCAAGGAAGATCATAAGCAGTTCATTTTAGTGAATGCAGAGCTATACATTTGAAATGCATATTTCAAATATGAAGTGATATTTGTTTCATAATTTTTTTAAAATCATATCTAATCAAGATTTTGAAATGCTCAAATGCTAATGTTACCTTAGGATAGGATAGTATTAGTGTCTTAATATTTTCGAGATGCTAATATAAAATTTTAAAATATACCCTATGACATTATCTAAAATAATAATATTACTAAAATGATTTAATAAAAAAGCAACATAATTTATATTTCTATTAAGATAAATGTTTAATTATTTATTTGTTTTAAAAAATATATTTATTTATATGATTATATTTTTATTTAATCTGAATTTAGACTATACAAATTTTTTTTATAAGATTGCATATATACATATTATTTACTAATTAATTTGAATAAAAAATATATTTAATTTTGAATAAATATTAAAAATATTAAAATGATAAATTATTTAATGTACTGTTGAGATATAATTTAATTTTACCCAACAATAATTACGTCAATGCATATATAAAACACAGTCTTCATCTATTACTTATCAAACACCTAAAACATTCTATAACTGTATGTTTACTCAAACTTTTATTCTCTAATTGTATATTTAAAATGTAAATATGTTCTCAAACACAACATATATATATATATATATATATATATATACTATCATATCAACCCCTTTTGAAGAAATATGCTACAAACACTAGCATGTCTCGACTCTACTAGAATCTGAACTATCAAATTTATAGCATCATTACCAATATCTCCTCGGCAGAACTGCAACATAAACTCACTCGAACACTACCAACACTGGATGACCATGTCTTGGCAGCTGGAGTTTCAACATCAAACTTAGAGCATCACCACCACCATATTCTTAGCAGAACTGCGTTGACATCTTAGCATATCTCTTATTAGACAAGCTTAGCTGCTATAAGCACTTGATGACCGTGTCTTGGAAGCTAGAGGTTGAACATCACTTTTATGGCATCACCACCGCGAGCGCTGACTTCAAAGGCTTCCACCACCTCCTCCTGAGAGAATCCAAATCTATGTGTTATCAGAGGCTTGACATCAATCTTTCCACTCCTCAAGAACTCGATGCATAGTGGCCAGGTTTCCTTGTAGCGGAAAATGCCAACGACATCCACCTCTCTGTGAAAAACATACAAAGGAATCTTATAATCAGCAAGTAACGAATCAACTTCTCTCATCATGTCATATTCTAAATCTTTACTAATAAGATTTTACAGTTTGATATCAAAACTATTCTTTCAAATGTTCGATCATATGTAAAAGTTTTCATAGGTCAGTCTTGAAGAATGTTGTACCTTGCTGCGGCAGGAGTAAGGGGGACAGTCATCTCATTATGTCCCATGCCTACAAGGCAAACTTTACCACCAGCACGGGTGGCATTCAAGGCTGTCGACATTGTTTTGCTAAACCCAGCACAGTCAAAGCTCACATCAATGTCACTGCCCATAGCCTTTTGTATCTGAACAACATCCTCATCCATGTCCTATAGATGTAAGTTGTGTTAGACAGCCACACCACAAGCAACTAATAGCGGTGACATCCTCAATAAACACAATAAAAAGCAACTACAATGAAGAGCATGCTGCACAGACAAAAAGGAAATCTGTTCCATTACCTAAACAAATTCGAGCATGACAAGTGACAATACCAATCTTGTTGGAGTTGCTTTTAGCATTGATGGCAAGAGAATATCTAATTAAGTCCGCATTTTTATAGCATGTCATTTACACACCTAACATGAAGAGCTGAAAATACCCATCCTTCAGACACATACATCCATCTCCATCTTTTGGGATCAGATAACTTCATGGAGAAAAATGCAGAACACATCCAAATTTGTTACTTCCAAGCTTTGTTTGATGCATCATGAATAATTACATTGGTTTCACAGTGGTGTGCTTTTGATGTGATTTTTCACTACTCCAACCTTGATCTTCATGTCTTCTAACAGCTTTTATCTATTAGCAGAATCTTTAACCTAGATAAGAAGCACCATCCAGCCTGGCACCAACTGCAGCTTAGATTGAACCCAACCAATCCAATTTTGTTATTAATTTCAAACCAGAATATGTCTTTATGAATTCACATATATATTCATATAGGATCATGCGTTGGTTTCTGCATGAAATAAAAGGTTGTGAACAACTTTCACATTTACTCTCAATTGACAAGTCACTTCTTCCAGTTCTCCAACGTTACTAAGAACAATCCACAAACACTATGCCAGAAAACAAGAACATAAACTTGCTTAAAAGCTTTTGCTGTACTATGCATCTAATAGGAAACATTCTGACATCAACTAGAATAAATAAGTTATCAACAGATGCCCAAATACCACCTAACAACATAGCTTTAACCCTGTGATGCAACCATCATTTAAATTCTGACATATATCAGGCAGATAAAAACTTGGGAACAAGTTGGACCAATCTAGTGTGAGTAGAAAGAATAATCATACGCACCTCATCTATGATCAGTGAGTGGTCTTAGTTTCAGGGGTAAAAAGAGACTTCTAATTCATATCAACTCAAAGCATCCACGTATGGACCCATAACGGATTGTTTTTGTTATTTGTATCAACTCAAAGCATGATCATGACAATAGCAACATTGATAAAGGTGATGGAGTAGATGATTCAAGTCAAGTTGATGGAATTTCTGCAGAACTTATCATTAAATTTGAATTCAAAAATCGATCTTAACAAAGAGAGACACATAGGGTGCTGAAAATAGATCATATGACACTACAAACAAAGATAAATTGGACCAGAACAATATGAAATATAGAAGCCCAACCAATGTTTGAACAAAATGCTACATTAGATAATACGATATGTCATATCAAAAAGCTTATAAATCATGTTCAAGAATTTGCAGATTAGAAAAGATAAGGAAATTATTGTGTAGTAGATCAAAAAGTTAAATAGCACAATATACTGCACTACTAATTCTTGATGAAAGCGACTAAATAGGCAAGAACCTGATTGTTTGTAGAAACTTTTACAACGTCATCTGCACCAAGAGATTTTGCCACAGATAGACGATAACCATCAACATCCACTATGATGATTCGTGGAGCACCAAAAGCACGAGCTGCGAGCATTGTGACTAACCCTATTGGCCCAGCACCCATAATTAGCACATTAGTTTCTGAACCTACATTAGCACGACGGCAAGCATGGATCCCAACACTAAGGGGCTCACACATTGCCCCTTCCTCCAAGCTCACATTCTCAGGAAGCTTAAAGCACAAATCAGCAGGATGTACCACCTGTAAATGCAGCACAAATTTTCATTAATTCCAAAACCATCAACTGTGGACATTACTTTTTGAAACTAATTTTTCATGCAAGTCATACAGGTTGCATTGGAAGCATATCATATGATAAGATACATGATTATTAGCAACAATAGAATTTATAACTGAAGATTATCAACACATCAACAACGACGCGTTTTATGTTCAAAACAAAAAAAGAGAAAGTGGAGAGACCACTTATTAAGTTTCTTAATGCATTGTCATCTTCTTCAGCAACATAGAAAACAAAAGTTTAGAGACTTGATTGTAATTCTTTATTTTTCTTCTTAATCATGTTACTAGGAAATCCTACTCATTAGATAAAGCAAATTACCTCCAAAATTCTAATTGGAATTACAGCTTCTTTTCCTATTTATTTTAGCACAAATAGAATATTTTGGGTAAAATCTAAGCTTTGGAACCTGATTAGCTAGGGAGCCATGAACAGGGGGTGTAGCGAAGAACTTCATGTCAGGGCAAAGGTTATAGCGGCCACCCTTGCAGTATTTGCAGCGCCAGCAGCTGATCCCAGGTTCTAACGCCACGCGGTCACCCACAACCAGGGACTCCACGTCGCTGCCCACCTCTTCTATTACCCCAGCACACTCATGCCCGATTACCATGGGTTCTTTGACAACGAAATGGGCACACCTCAGGGTCTGCAGTTCTCAGACAAGATGAGAAGGGACATCACTCGATTCATCCAAATCGCTGTCCTCTCAAACCAAAATAGCAAGGATTCCGTAAGCAAACCTAACCTTGAGGTAATGAACATCACTGCCACATATGCCGACAGCCTTCATCCTCACCCGAACGTCGTAAGGCCCTAAAAATTTCGATTTTGATCAGTAATCTCCACCAAACAATCGTCAAGATAACTCCTTCCCCAAAAGAAAAATAAAGCCATGTTTGTACACGTATCCATATTCCATGGTCAAGGACTCAAGATCGGTTCTCGAATAAGAACATCTAAACTAGACAGCCGTATAGAAGCAAATCAAGCCGAGAAAAGAAAGAGATGATGGAAGAGAGGCCAAACCAAGAGACGGGAGTCGGAAAGGTTGGATCTTGAGGGTATTGACAGACACCAACCACGCGGCCATGTTCTCCTCTTCCACCTTCGCCCCATCTCCGCTTCCTTCTCCGCCCTTCCCCATCTCTGTGAATGCCGATCTGCTGCTGCACTGACGGTGGTTGCTATATAGAAGGGCTTCAAGGGAGGACAAGGAGGAGGGCTCCGATAGCGACGGGGATCAGAACAGATGACCATAAAGACGGATTAGCGGCGCGGAAGAGAGATACTCTCAATCATTGTTCCTTATCCGCCACACGATCCTCTAACTGAACTCGAAGTCTACCTTAGTAATACTTACCCGCTGTGCACCACGGTTGATGGTGGTAGACCCCACATTGTGCGTCCAGTGGTACGATTCGTTGGTAAAGAATGATGTTTTTGTTGGATGGGAAGAACCAATGCTCACACCATATGAATGTGGTGATATGGTCCACTCATAGACAATGAATTGTCATCATTAAAAGGACTAGTATCAAATGCATGTAGTGTTAATGTGTAATTAATTGTAGCTTCATGTTGTGATCATGACAGCATATTATATATATATATATATATATATATATATATATATATATATATATAAAATTAATTAATTAATTAAGGGACACAATAAGCTAAAAATCTAATAGTAAGAATTTTTTTAAGTAAAATGTCCTCAGATTTCTCAAGATAGTCATTCATCATTTTTTATTTATTCTCGAAACAGATAAGCAACTCATGATACTTCAAATTGCAAGTATTATTCACCATTTATGACCTCTTAAGTGCGATATGTTTGGATGAGTTTTCTGTTTTATAGGTGGTTTTCAAGATTAGATTATTTTATGACCTTGTAAATAATGTTGCATAGGCATTTATGCATAAAGTATATGTGTTTTCCGATTGCTAATAAAGTTTTTTTATTTGATTATGCTGATGTGATCTCCAGTTATGTTTCGATAGAGCAATGATAATAGTTACGCATGTATTAGCTAATTCTTGTCTTTTAAGAGATTGAATGAGGTCTCAAAGAGGTTAATCCTTTAATAAAAAATATATTTTGCAGCTCAAATTCTAATTACCCAATCTGTTGTAAAAGGGATTAACCAAGGCGAAGGAAGCATTCAATCACCATATCATTTTGTTCGATCAAATCAACCCCTTTTATCGAAGAACAATGCTACAAGTACTTGATGACCATTTTTTGATGCTGCTACAATTTATAATTTATACATCAAATTCATAGCATCATCACCAACATCTTCTTAGAAGAACTGCAATGACATGAACACACTACAAACACTTGATAACCATGTCTTTCAGCAGGAGTTTCAACATCAATTTAGAGCATCACCACCATCATCTTCCTGCAATCACAACTCTTACTAGACAAGCTTAACTGCTACAAGCACTTGATGACCAATATGTCTTGGAAGCTAGAGGTTGAACATCACTTTTATAGCATCACCACCGCGAGCGCTAACTTCAAAGGCTTCCACCAGCTCCTCCTGAGAGAACCCAAATCTGTGTGTTATCAGAGGCTTGACATCGGTCTTTCCAGTCCTCAAAAACTCAAGACATAGTGACCAAGTATCCTTGTAGCGGAAAATGCTGATGACATCCACCTCTCTGCAACCAAAATACAAAAGGAACTTATTATCAGCAAATAACAAATCAACGTCTATTATCAAGTCATGTATTATTGTTTCATATGTTCAATAATATCTCTCAAGCATCTAACACTTTCCACAGATCAGTCATGCAGAAGGTTATACCTTGCTGCAGCAGGAGTAAGGGGGACGGTCATTTCATTACATCCCATACCTATGAGGCAAACTTTACCACCAGCACGGGTGGCATTCAAGGCAGTTGACACTGTTTTGCTAAACCCAGCACAGTCAAAGCTCACATCGATATCATTGCCCATAGCCTGTTGTATCTGAATAACCTCTTCATCTACGTCCTACAGAAGTAATTGTGTTAGAGGCCACAACACAAGCGACTACTAACGCTGGCATCATCTATAAACTCAATAAAATGCAGTAACTATGATGAGGGGTATGCTGCACAGACATAAAGGAAATCTATTGCTTAAAATTCAAGCATGACAAATGATAATACCTGTATGGTTAAAGTTGTTTCCAAGTATTGATGACAAGAGAATTTCTAGTTGGGTAATGTCATAAATATTCGTAACTTACAACAATCATAGCATCAAGGTAAACTGACTGCAAATAGTTGGGGACATCACAGCTTGCTATTGGTGTTGTTGTTGTGTTTAAGAATGTGCAGACTAAAAATGAAAGTGACTAAATAGCACAATATATGCACTAGTGCTTCTTGATTTAAGTGACTAAATAGGCAAAAACCTGACTGTTTGTAGAAACTTTTACAAAGTCATCTGCACCAAGAGATTTTGCCACAGATAGGCGATAACTATCAACATCCACCATGATGATCCGTAGAGCACCAAAAGCTCAAGCTGCAAGCATCGTAACCAGCCCTATCGGGCCAGCGCCCATAATTAGCACATTAGTCTCCGGACCTACAATAGCATGACGGCAAGCATGAATCTCAACACTACGGGGCTCACACATTGCCCCTCCTCCAAGCTCACGTTCTCGGGGAGCCTAAAACACAAATTAGCAGGATGTACCACCTGTAAATGCAGGACAAGTTTATTATTAATTCCCAAACCAGCAACAGTGCACAATATTTTTCTAAAAACTAAATTTTGATGCAATTATACAGGCTGTGTTGCATGTAATATATGGTAAGATGCATGATTATTAGCAAGAATATAACTTGTAGCTGAAGATTATCAACTTATTAACAAGGTTGTGAAGCTGATGGCCCGACAATGATTCTCCTGTTTGCATACAGCTTTATGTTGAAAAGAAACAAAGGACACAGACAGAGACACGGTTCGATTTAGAAGTTTGTTATGCATTTTAACCTTCTCTTGTATGAGTAGCAACATAAAAAACACATCATAGAGACTTGGTTGTAATTCTTGGTTGATTGTTGCTTAATCATGTTACTAGGGAATCCTATTCACTAGATAAAGCAAATTACCTCAAGATTCGAATCGGCATTACAGCTTCTTCTTATTTTAGCACAAATGTAATATTTCGAGTAAACTCTAAGCCTGATCACCTGATTAGCTAGGGAGCCATTGACAGGGGGTGAACCGAAGAACCTCATGCTGCGGCAAAGGTTATAGCGGCCACCCTTGCAGTATTTGCAGTGCCCGCAACTGATTCCAGGTTCCAACGCCACGCGATCACCCACAACCAGGGACTTCACTTCGCAGCCCACCTCTTCTATCACACCAGCACACTCATGCCCGATTACCATGGGCTCTTTGACAACGAAATGGGCACACCTCATGGTCTGCAGTATTCAGAGGAAAATGAGAAGGGACAATCATTTGATTCATCCCAATTTAGCACTCAATTGATACACAACTTGTGACATGTTCGCACTCAATAACCTTGAGGTGATGGACATCACTGCCACAGATGCCGACAGCCTTTATCCTCACCCGAACGTCGTGAGGCCCTGAAAATTTCGATTTTGATCAGTAATCTCGATCAAACAAGCGTCAAGACAACTCCAGCTCCAACAGAAAAGGGAAGAAGAAAAGAAAAGAAAGAAAGATCCATGTTTCTGTTCGAATCCATACTCCATGGTCAAAATTGAGTCCCGAGTAAGAACATCTAAACTAGATAGCAGTATAATGCTAATCATACCACCCATAGAAGCAATCAAGCAATGGAAGAGAGGCCAAACCCAGAGGCGGGAGTCGAAAAGGTTGGATCTTGAGGGTGTTAACAGCCACCAACCAGGCGGCCATGTTCTCCTCCTCCACCTTCGCCCCATCTCCGCTTACTTCACCGCCCTTGCCCATCTAAGCGACTGATATATAGAAGGGCTGTAATGGATGGGAAGGGGGAGGGCTTGTGTTGCGATGGGCATCAAAGCAGACGACCACAAGAAGGATCCTCTGCTAAATCATTGTTCCATATCCATCGGATGGTCGTCCATATTAGGGTCTGGCGACAGTGGACCCCGATCTGTGCGTCGCACGGGTTCGTGACGAAGGCTGTTGACTTCGGACCCGATGAGCTGTTGGAGGGGCAAGGCGTAGTTCATCTGACGGCCGTCCTTGACTTCTATCCGGCTCACGATCCTCTCCTCCGAGAGAAGCTCCATCGCCATGTCAACGGGGCGGTGACGATGTGGACGGCGGGCTGATGCTGCTGTAGCCAATGCAATGGAAGAACGCGGGAGGAACTTGCACAACAGTTTAATTGTTGATGGGAAGATTCTATGATAAATCCACCGTTTAATTATTATAAAAAATAAAAAAAAGAAGATTACCATTTATATTTTTCTTTTACTATTTATAATTTTATTTTAATTTTCTTTTAACTTAAATATCTTCTTCTTCTTCTTCTTCTTTTTCTTTCTTCTCGGAGCCGAAGCAAACATGAAATAAGAGGTAAAAATATAAAATAAAATCGACTTTGCTAAGATAATAAATAATAAAATAATATATATTTTTTATTTTTAAAAAAATTATCAATGGTAAAAAAAAAATTTAATAGTAAAACAAGGATATAAATAATAAGTTTCATTAAAAAAGAAAAAGAACTACTATAAGATGCCTTGTTGAATCAACCTGACTCGATTCTAACCTGACTTGCATTATGAATTCCTCAATTTACATGTTCTTGATGTCCAACATGAGGCCCCATATGATCATGTAGTCATACGATCTCAATTGCAATCTTTGTTTAGATAGATCATATCGAATTGATTCCAATATCCATTTGAATTGAATATATCCAGAAAAAGAAAAATATCCTTCATAATAATATCGAATCTTGCTTTCATCACTTATCATTCATATAAAAAAAATAAAGATAACACATTTGGTAACACATTAACAAATCAGACGAAAAAAATTAGTCTTTCCAAAAGAAAATAACATGTTTACTTTCTCTCACATATGTCACTCCATCAAATCTGGATTTGAACAATGTGGTTAATCTGTCTGGTAGCTCAAAATGTCCTATAGACAAGTCATCTAATTACCTTCACTGCTTAAATCAGCAAATTCAGATCTGCTTATCAAAGAAAAAATTGCATACAATTCGTGACACCAAATACAAAGATTTATTGGCTAAATGAAAGAGAGCAAATCTCCAATGTGAAATGTTGACAAAAGGCAGCTTCAGGGAATTTGTATATGGACTTGCACAGCATACTCGAGTCGAGCAGTTCAAGGCAAAAGGCCATTCCTCTTCGCCGTTTCATATAGGGCAATTGCAGCTAGAGCTTTTGCATCAGCAGTCACACGCCAAAGTGTATCGTAAGGAACAACATGTACCTTAATCAGCTCACCATGATCACGGAGGCCCATCTCCTTTCCCTGCAGGGCACTTATGATCTCCTCCTCTACATGGCCTCTATAAAGAAACAGGCTCAGTTCCTCGTCGCACCCACCCTAACAAAGCACAAGAAGAATCCTGTGGGTTTGAAAGTAAATAACAAAGTCTGAACTGCAATGTGATGCGGCAATTATATCATTCCACTGGAAGTCAATCAAAATGTTCATAGCATATTTTGACGACTTCAATAGAGAAGATCTACACATACAACCCTGTGAATTCCCTTGAAGACTGACTTAAAATGGTGCAGGAGAGAGATCAACAGCTCATGGTTACAAGGACAAAATTCCAAAACTGAGAATACCTTCTCACCCTGAAAATATAGTCACAACCTAGAGAGTAAAATCTTCTACAGATTGGGGCCACTTATGCTTTATTTGCAAGATTTCTTTATACTCCTCGTTGTGTTTTGTAAATCTTGGCAAATGTAGATGTTTCCTTAAGGTAAGCTTTCTGCTTCATCCTATAACCTTTGAAAATTTGAAGGTTTTTTTTTTCGCAAAGAATAAGTAATGAAGACGAGATTCGAACACAAGACCTTGCGATAAACTATCAAGATCTTTACCAACTAAGTTAGCTGACAACTTTCAAAATATAAATCGGATGAGGTTTCAAATCCTCAACCTTTAGTAAGAGGATCTAGTACACCATCACCAGATTAATGTTTTAGATGTAAAAATATATCGAATAAGTCTTCGAATTCTCAACCTTTGGTAAATGAACCTAGTACACCATCACCAATATTTAAGATTATATTTTGTCAAATTTGTAGATTTGAAATTGTTTTACTAGTCAAGGACTTTGTAATACAATTTATGTTCCACATTATCAGGCAAAATCTAACTTTATTATTTTTCTGGTGGTGTGTCACATCTTATAACAAACAACGCCGCCTTTGAATACACTAGCAAGCATGACCTTCATTGTTGCTCAGCTCTTTACCCAATTGATGTAGAATATTAGTTGCGATTATTATATCTGAAACTAAAAGGTATTTTCTTTCTTGTTCTGCAAACTGTATCACACACATTTTACATATTTTCCCTTTAACATTTATGTTGAATTTGCTTTAGATTTGTTAAACTTTAAGATTTTTCACTGACTTGCAAGTCATCTTACCCAATGATTTAAAAAGGCACTCAGGCGCTCGGGCAAGGCGAGGCGAGAGCACCTCGTTGAAAGGCCAGGCGGCATGCTTCAAAGAGGCGTTGCCTGGGCGCTCGCCCAAGACCAGGCGTCGGGTGCTTGCTCGATTCAATTAAACGAACCGAACCAGACTTTTTAAGTATGGTTTGGTTAAATAACGTAGTTTCTTACCACAAAAGCCACCCTTCACGCCCACGCGACCTCGAGGAACCCTAGCACTGCTTTTGCCTTTGTCGTCGATGCTTTCTGTTGCTGCCTCCGCCGCATATGCAGCGGACCGAGCCTTCCTCTGTCGCCAATGGACGAGCCTGACGGTCCCCGTAGCTTCCTTCCGCTGTTGCTCTGTGTGCAATTCCTTGCATTGTCGAGGAAGTGGACCGCAGGTTCCTTCACCACCGACAAACGTCCTCTGGAGCTTCCACCACTGTTGTTGTCCACAGCCTTCGTCGCTGTCACTACTGTTGTTCATAGCTTCCGTCGCTACCGATGTTTTTGTTCGCAGCTTCTGTTGTTGCTATCGTTTGCAGCACTACCACAATAATCTTAAACTAATCCTCTGCTACTATTAACATTTTTTCTCCCCTCTAACTACTATTAACAGTAAGTAATATACTATAAACAATATATTTTTAATTTAATATCATATTTTTATTTAAATAATTATATTTTTATTATATTATATATTTTTTATATTTTAATATTTCAGAGTGTCTCGCTTCGTTCGAGCGAGCGTTTTGGGACCTTGGTGCTTTTTAAATCATTGATCTTGTCTGACTTGTTAAGACATTTGAATCAATGAGAACAAAATAAGCTGATATTATGAGATTTGTGTTAGGACTCTAGCTTGGAGAGTCCTAATTGAGAGGGACATTCATGTAAAACTGTTAGGACTCTAGCTAAGAGAGTCCTAATTGAGAGGGGCATCCATTTAAAACTGTTAGGACTCTAG